CTCACACATGGTACCGGTTCTATTGGCAGATCCACCTCCTCAGATTAGCGTATCCGCTGTATGGTGTTTCTGATGTTGTTTAGCACCGAACATTTCTTGAGATTCTACGCAATGTCGGCTTAGTATAATCAATAAACATTGACGGAAATTACCCTGTCTGAATTAAGCCCACAACAAAAGAAAGATTTCGGTATTATTTGGGCTCTTTATACCTACGTCAATTATATTTTTTATTTTAGATTTTATTTATAAAGACGGTATGAAAAAGGGGTATATAGCTTAATATGTGGCTTAAAATAGCGTTATAGAGTAAAATAACTTGTATTTAATAATAAAATCGATCATTAAAAAATATTGATAATAATGATAATCACGTGACACAAGACAGTCGCAAATAAGTCGAATCGACGATGACGCACCATGCCCGTAAATAATATATTAACGCCTATCTTATCATAATATACATTAGAATATTTGTTACATTTACGAATGACAATTACTACAAAAACAATTTGAACCTTTGTTTACGTATTTAGTGGCATGTGTCATATCGACTGATGCGACCCTATCTTGTCCAGATATGCAATTTGGCTGGTTCTTGAAATTATGTTCAATTTGAATTCTTAAATCCTTAACAGAATTAAAAAACCAATTTGTGCAAGTTCTTTAGACAATAAATCAACTGAAATGGTTTTTAAAATCTTGACACATATAGTTAAATATGCATATAAGCAATGGTGTAATCGAACACACCTTCAATTAGTCTAGATGCCACGACAGCGACGACGAGGAAATACCGAAGCTGAGCCTGACGATTGTGCCTCAACTTCATGGGGCTCAGATGATGACAGGATATAATATATATGTTCACTATGCATATATAAAATTTTTAATATATACTCAGCGTTATTCACGTGGAAGTAACTCATTATCTTTAAATAGTTATTGAATGTACTGTAGCATTTCTTTTTTTTTTTAAATATATTTTCTAGCTAATTCCTCGACTATATTGTCGTCTTTATTCTATATTGGTATTTAATAACTTATGTATATCTGAAGTAAATAGCATTGGTAACTAGGATGATTAGGCACTACTTGATTCTTTTAACAACTTTTTCTATCGTATTTATAGCAAATTTTAGAAAGATCTCTTAACCTATTGTTCAACATTATTTCTTTTAAGTTCGCCTCTGGTTTCATTCCCACTTGGTCAATGTTTTACCTGTCGTAGCGCATACATTAAACAGTCAGCCAGCACTTTGTCTAACTCTGAACCTGTGAAGGTACGACAAGAATCCACCGTGACCTGGCAACATCTGTGTAATCAATCCCGTTGGTTTTATTTGTTTAATAATTGAATAGGCCGAAACATTTGGAAGGGATAACTGAAACACTGGCCAGTGTTTCCTTCCCACCAATTCGTCTACTCTACTTCCGTCCGTATATAGCTTTACTGGTGGTGCAATTTGATATCAGGTTCTTTGGAGGGATGAGTAATACGTATCAACGATACTCTTTGCTCCAGGTCGCCTTCCAATACAGACTGAAATAACCCTCACTTTGCTTCGTATAACACAGCTGCCTCTTGGATTCTAAGATCTAGGGGCAGTAGTCCGGCGAGGATAAATAAAATAAAATAAAATAAAGCGACGCCTCGTTGCACTGAATTTAATTGCTTCCTAATTCCTAGCTTTTTAGTGGCTGGAGCCCAAACTGCTATCGGATATAGGATTATGGGCTTGATGACTGCCGTATAAATAATATGTACATAACGCTGTAAACACCAGCCTTTTTAATGAGCTACGAACCGCTTTGTAAAAGTAAAAGCTGAGCTGATTGCCGATTTCTTTTTAAAGTGTTCAAAAATTGATTTATGTTTCGGTAACGAGTTATTAATCGTCTGTTGTGAAAAATGAAAAATGAATGTGTATTCAGATTTCGGATATTATCTTAATAATAAACTTTATGTTATAAGAACCTTCCGTGTTTGCGAATTTGCACCTCTTTCTCGCTTCAATTAATTATTATTGAGTTGAATCAATCTGTTTTCATGAATATGTTAAATTTGAAAAAAAAAAACATACATATTCCTTCCTTTCAGATGATCTTCACCCAGATTTTGAGCAGAATTTCATGAAACCTGTTTCTTTTACAGCCATATAACAAAGACGACCACATGGGAGGACCCTCGCAAGACATTGGCAGCGCAAACGGTGGCCAGTGGTGTGCAGCATCAAAGCGCGGAAGCCTTACTTACACAGACTCCCTCACCACAGAACCTTCCAACAGCCAGTCCAGGTACCTAAGTCTTTAAATAGCTAAACTGTAAGTCAGTCACTTAATCAGGCAGATAATGGCAGATCAATCTAACCGTATTACCGGATGATCTCATAGTTTGCAAAACATAGCTGATAGTTATTTAAACTACCTTTTATCAACCTACAGCCTCAGTTATGTAAGTTATGAGTCTTAATTTTCACGTAATCTAATTGGCTTTGCAACTGCGTTTAAAATTATCATGAAACTAAAATAAAAACAAGTAAATAGCCCAAATTCTAAAACTGATTTTATGACGGGAATTAACGCGTTGTTTCCGTTGGTCGATGTGAGACGAGTGTTGAAAGGCGCCCAGAAAATACATTGGAGTTTCGACGCCGAAACAGTGGCGCCTGCGCCGCTTTTCAGCGACTTGCGACACATCCGCGCGAGTCAGACATGTTTGTGCTTCTGCCGGCACTCCCGGAGTGCAACCCGTCGTTTTTTTTTATTCTTCTGTAGGTTCGCAATCTAAGGCTATGAGCGATCTGTTTTGTGGTGCTGTCATGTGGAGTGGCTGTCCATTGGAAGCATCTACTCATCTGCTACCTGCAGCTACTGCCGGTTTTCTAACTCTAAAATATGGTGACGTTTTTGTACATACTTATCTATGGTGAGTTGGCGAGCAAGTGGATAAGATACAAATAACAAAACTTCTGGCTACTTTGTTGCCAGTTGAGTGGAATTACTATTTGGACAAAACAGAGAAGACACGCAGAATATGTTCGCTAGATGTTACTTAAAATGATTGAATACGCAAATCAGGCTTTCTACTATACCTACACCTATAACTGTTAACTACACTTTCCTGTTGTTACACGCTTTATTAACATAGACAACTTGCCGGCCATTGAAAAATTCCACGTAAGATTTACGCTTTAGCAATAGTCACGCCTGATCAAATTGTAAATTATGACAATAAGACAAATATCACGTTCTCAAGGTCTTGAATAGAAAATTAATTCGATAGCATATAACTTTCTTATTTATAGAAGTTGTGTAGCTTGTTTTAACATTAGTATTATAAAATATTGTATTCATAAATCAATAAATGTTTTCAATTTATAGATCCGTTTAGGAGCTTGTTTACAGATATTTCTCATACACCTGAATTCATTTTCTAATAAATAATTATATCTGTATATTATCTATAAGTTACGGTGATTGCTAAGTATTGTTGAGAAAAGGATTAAAATTTGAATATTTTGTACAAACACAACTCAGTTACTAGTGCTAATTAGATTTTGTCAATCTTACAATATTATCTTGTATAAAGTATGTAATGTACTTACCGGGGTAAGAATTAAGATGGGTTTTTATACCAAGCGATAGAAGTGATATTCCTTTTCTTAGATAATTCATCTAAAATAAACAAATTATGCTATAATATGTTATAATTGAAAATTATCATATTTTATTATTGTTGCTACAGCAAAAAATTATTTACATTTAATTTGTTTTTCGATTTCCATTGATATTTTTTACAATAACATTCATCGATAAGAAAATTATATTTGCTTAAAAGTATCGACCCTGTTATGTGTATAGCACATAATATAATAGATCTTAACCTCCCTGAACATCCAAGTATATATCTTATGACCTGATTGTGAATGTTATGGGCTAAATAAGCCTTCAAAACACTTTCAGTTTACAAAAACAGTCGCTCTTTTAAAATACAGTAGTTTTTAAAAGTTACCGTTTTCGCTGGATTTAATAAGTAAATATATATATTACTAGACGCGCGCGTTCCCTTTGCTCCATAACAATATAAAACGAAATAAAGTATATTATTATTTATTTGATATGATCGAAAAGGAGCATAAAATAAATTAACAAAAATTTCATTAACGCAGCCGCAGAGCGATGCGGGGTTCGGTCGCAACCTGCAATTTGTTAATAAACTTACTGTATTGTCGTTTGTTGGCATGAAAAATAATGAAATTTCAATTTACTACTATAGTCGAACAATTAATAAATAATTGAAATACTTTAGAAATCTAAACAAGATATCTTTTACACAATCGAATTTAAAAAAAAAATTGCAAAATTAAAAATTTTACCCTTCCGTCTCACAACTAACAAATATACCTTCAAAAAAAGAGCGTATCAAATCTTAAAAGGCCGGCGACGCACTTGCAAGCCTTCTGGCAGTCATCATTTAAAATCAGATAATCCTGCCTCATATGGTTTACAAAAATTCAACCAGTTTGCATAATTAATTTCATATAATGTGTGTAATTGTTTACTATTGAGATGAATCTCAACCATAGTGTTATAGAGATAGTATTTATTGAGGGATAGTCCATATTGTGTAGCTTGTTCGAGCTAATTGGGGTTCGTTAGCCCTGCCTTGTATACTCATGGAATACCGTGGCAACATAAGCTTTGAACATGCGCGCGAAATATTGCCTAATGGTTCACATCCCCAGATGTAATTTTCCATTATCACCACAGTTATGCTTTATAGTAACTCTAATTTTTCAACAGCAGTTTAACATAATAATATCATTTGTTTTGAAGTTTAGAAGTGTAAGTTAGTACTTAGTAGTAGCAGTTAACCTATAATCTACCTCACTGTTCTTAAACAGTTGTAGCAAATTCAATCTTAGAGCGGTTCCTCTAGTAATCTAGTTATCATATTAAGAGTTTACATGTGGGATTACATCAATTAGATGGCAAAATTAAAATGAGGTGTGCCTAGATTTCAATTGATCAATTTCTAAAGCTAGTTTTCTATTTATTTCTACCAATTCATTTTGATTTTCCTCTAACCTTGATAATTGGTTGCTCATTTGAGATAGCTGCTTTTCTAAATAAAGCTTTTGTTTAGTCAATGCCATCATAATATGAAGAAAACAATTCTTATTGTCGTCTGCTACATATGAAAGACTTAATTTGAAGAAATCTTCAATAGTTTTATTGTCAATACCAACATTTTGAACCATGCTGTTAGATTTTATCGGTAAACTGTTAGAATTTAAAGCTCTTTCTTCACTTATACCATTTTGTGTTGTGGGGTTTTGCATAATGTTATCTGTGTATGTGTATGATGCAATCTGAATTCATTACGATCACTTTTTCTATAAGTTTCTAATGATCTATTTTAGTTTCTTTTTGAGTACTTATTGATTTTTTTTTGTATCCCATCCTTCCACATAATGTCTGTAATTCATATCTGCAAGTTCTTATCTCGTATTAAACATACTTTATCCAATAAATAAACATGTTAGTAAAGAGTATGGACATTATTGTTAATTTAGCTATTATAAAGTCAGACTGATATTTATGGCTGCGTAAGATTTAACATGTGTTTACAATTTTTTTTTTTCTGCGGTTATTTGCAATCAGCCCTAAGGCTATGAGCGAATTTTTTCTGTGGTGCTGTCATGTGGAGTGACTTCCCATTGGAAGCATCTACTCATCTTCTGTCTAGAGCTACTGCCGGTCTTCTAGCTCTAGAATATGGTGACGTTTTAGTCGACTCACATATTGTCTAATGGTGAGTTGGCGATCAGATTCATTCGGGTGACAGCTTAACCGATCTTTGTATTTGATACAATAATTTTATCGTATCGTCGTGATCACGCGAGTTATGGGAATAAAAAGCAAGACATAAATCTGATAATGTGGTCACGTAGACTTTAAAATTCAACAGAGAATTTTTAACTAGTATAGTTATATATGGTTTTTAATTATCTGTATTATATGCTTACCAATATCTCAAATGAATTCAATAAACTAAAATTCATACTTATTATTGTATACTCGGAGTAATTAAAGCGGTCAATCGTGCTGTAATGAGTAAAATTTTACCGACATCAGCATTGTTACACTTGCAATTTCCTTAGTATTATATGGCTTTTTAAATTTGTATGGGCTTTATTTCTCATTACAAAAATAATGTATTTTATTTACATGAGAAACTTAATATGTATGTAACGAGATACACGTCGCCATCAGCCGTCCTAATTTTAGTCTACTCTCTTTCTGATATTATGTAGATACCTATTTATAACAGAATATAAACTTGATTAATAAATAAGCCAGCATAAACAATTCAAACAAAGCGAAACGGAGGTTCCGGAAGGCTTAACTCACACGTAGTATATGTTTATACGGACAACGCCTTATTAAGGGTTGAATTAGACGGGATAAATTAGTCTGGGAGTAAATGAGCGTTCCACTTCTATCGGTTTTGGGCGTTGGTACGAAACATCAGCTGCCTTCTGATTTGGGTGGTTGGAAATTAAATTGCTCCAGGCTCAATTAATCGCTAGAACAAAGTACATTATATACTATATTTACGATATCAGTGTATTGTCTTATGTAGATTTTATTTAATCTCATTTAAAATATATATTAAATAATAATAATAATTTAATTGCAAGAATATGGTACAAAAATGTTATGGTGGTATAATCTAAAGTTAATAGAAGTTACAATAACATTATGAGTCATATAGTCTAGTCTTATATTATTATATCTCTACATCATCACATTTTCAAAATATATTACTACGTTATCAAATTAATATTAATTATAATGCTTCACGCAAATAATCATTAATAGAATAATATATTTACGAAAAAGAATACGATAAAAGTGATGGTTTTGGCTTCAGTGATTTAGCTGAAACACGTCTTTGATTAAAAGTCATACAAGCCAGTGACTTCGCGGTATTCACGTTCACATTACGAGCAAGTGTTAATTGCGCACATAGAAAAATTAATTGGACTTTGAACCTCATCTGAGTTTTATGTCGCACCCTAATTAGGCAGACACTACTCAAAAATGTAGGAGGAATCAAAATTCGTATATATATTTATATAGATATTATTATATGAAACGTTTAACACAATATATCGTCGCTGTAGTCAAAGTCAAAGTCAAAGTCAAATCGTTTATTTCAATTAGACCATCTAAAATGGCACTTTTGAACGTCAAAAAAAAAAATATAAAGATGATTCTAGTTGCCCCTTCCAAAAGGTAGTTTCGTGTGGAGAAGAATGGGCAAGAAACTCCACACTTACTCTTTTAAAATAGGTTTACAATATTTTGTTACATTTGTTAAATAATTATATGTGAAGACAATGTACTCTTAGAATAAACTACTATACTAAAAAGTTAGTATACATGTTCCTCACATATTTACAAATATCGAAACCTTAGAATATTAACATTAAAGAGTAATAAAAATATTAAAAAAACACAACAAAACAGTGTGTGAGATACAAAAAAAATAATTACATTTGTAGCATTATATAAATTAAAAAAAATAATAATAATAATAATAATAACAAAAATTAACATATTTTTTTTTTAGCAAAAAATCAGCAACCAATTTGATTTTGTCCAGGCTATAGAGCCAATCATAGGATTGTCCTATGGAGCAGGACCAGCATGTTTCCAAGCATTCTTATCTTGAATATAATCATCTAATTTGTAATATGCTTGTTTACAAAGTGTACTTTTAATAAAACATTTAAATTTTCGTTCATTTAGTTTTAAAATGTCACAAGGTATTTTATTGTAACATTTCACACAGTACCCCATAAATGAATTTTGAACTTTGGCTAATCTGAAAGATGGTTGAGCTATTTTATCTTTATTTCTAGTACTAAAATTATGTCTTTCATTTATTTTACTAAAAAGATGTAGATTCTTTCTTACATACATAATATTTTCATAAATGAATTGGCAAGGTACTGTCATAATATTAATCTTTTAAATAGTTCCCTGAGAGATTCGCAACGACGTAGATTATAAATGGCTCTGACCGCTCTCTTTTGCAAAATAAAAATGGATTCTATGTCAGCAGCCCGACCCCACAGTAAAATGCCGTAAGACATTATGCTGTGAAAGTAGCTAAAATAGACCAAACGCGCAGTTTCTACATTGGTTAAATATCTTATCTTTCTAACCGCATAAACGGCTGAGCTCAGCCGCCCCGCAAGAGATGTGATATGAGGTCCCCATTGTAACTTCTCGTCTAGCGTGATGCCTAGGAAAACCGTTTGATTAATAAATTCCAGTTTTCCTTCATTCAACATTATGTCACATTCCTTACTTTTAACATTTGGCAACGTAAATCTAATACATTTAGTTTTTTATCATTCAGTGCCAAATTGTTTACCGTAAACCAATTTTGGACCCGAAGAATAGAGTTATTCACGTCGTCACGATTTTGTGACCGTCGATCTACTTTAAAAATCAATGATGTGTCATCTGCAAATAACACCATCTTCGGTTTATTCTGAACTAATTGGGGTAAATCATTTATGTATACTAAAAAGAGGAATGGACCCAATATTGAACCCTGAGGAACGCCCATTGTAATTTCAGACCCTAACGAGTTTATGCCGTTAACCTGAACTTTAACCTGTCTGTTTTTCAAGTAAGATCTTAGTAAGTCCAGAGCTTTGTTCTTAATCCCGTAGTGATTAAGTTTCAGCAGAAGAGTCTCATGGTTTACGCAATCGAACGCCTTCGAAAGGTCGCAAAAGATTCCAATGGCATCTTGTGCTTCCTCCCAAGCGTTAAAAATGTTCTTGATTAGGGAGACACCGGCGTCAGTTGTACAACGCCCTTTGGTGAAACCGTACTGTTGTTCATGAAAGATGGAGTTTTTATTAAAGTGACATAACATTTGATTGAGCATTAACTTTTCAAAAACCAACTGAGAGCTGGCAGAATTGACACAGGTCTATAATTATTGGGTTCTTTACTATCACCGGATTTGAACAACGGAACTACTTTACTGTGTTTCATGAGATCCGGAAAGACTCCTTGGTCTATGCTGGTGTTAAATATGAAAGCTAAATAAGGCGCAATAGTTTCGATGATAGAACTACAGACTTTTACAGACAATCCCCAAAGATCTTCTGTAGATTTAATTTTAAGATCTTTAAAAGCTTTCATAACAGCCTGGGGGTTTGTATATTGAAATCGAAACTCCGTAGGGCATGCCCTTACATTCTTCGTAAGTAACGCAAAAGAAAGTGCGGATGATGAACTTAAAGCTTCGGTAGTTGTAGAATGATAACCTCGAAAATCGATAACGTCCAAAGAACCAAACATTACAGGAAACGAAAAATGTTTCATTTTGTCAATGTTCGTTTAAATATTATAATGTGTTTTTTGCCCATAATATTTTAGATGGTAAGGACTTATTTATTAATAACATAAGTCCTTACTTCATTATTATATAAAAAAAAAAATGGTTCTTTTTGACATACGAGGTTATCATTCTACAGTGATTTGCTGTTCTGATTTAAATTTAGAATTAAGTTGTTTAAACTATACACATTATTTAAAAATAGAACACTCAAATAAATTTTAAAAATTTGATCCCTTTAGTGCGTTTAATGTTGGACAACTTAACCTACAAATGTATTATACGTTATTCTTTACATTTAACAAAAACTCATTGATTACATATCCGTCACTTCTGTCAGGTCTTTTATCCGAACAGTCACCGTCAAATAAACTAAGATTAATTTTCGCGTCAAACAATGGACAAGGGTTATATCAAAGGGTAATACAAGTTTCTCTAAAACTTTGCATGTGACTTTCCTTTGTTTTAGCGTTTGTGACTAAAACAATGCCGGAACGGATCGAATTTCGCAATCTTTTGTTTTTTAAACGTTCAAATCAACGGTGGTTTAATAGTTTTGAATATGGAACAGATTATTTTTATTTTACCATAGTTTGATGTAATTCAAAAATCTAATCATTTACAATCCTCAACTAGACATCCTTTTTAAACTTCAAATAAACGGTGGTTTAATGGTTTTGAAAATGGAACACTATGATATTGCTTGACCATAGACTGAATGAAATTTAAAAATCGAATCTTTTACAACCGTAAAATTACATCATCTTTCAATGTTCAAATAAACGGTGGTTTAATGGTTTTGAATATGGAACACTATGATATTGCTTGACCATAGACTGAATGAAATTTAAAAATCGAATCTTTTACAACCGTAATATTACATCATCTTTCAATGTTCAAATAAACGGTGGT